ATTAATTCGAATTTATTAGCTTTTCTTTCTCATTAGTAGCTATCTTTTAGTTTATAAATATTTTTGCTATTTTGATGCATTTATATCTATTTGAATTGTTTCGAACTAATTCGAAATATTTCACAAAATATTATATAATATTGCGCTATAAGTTTCGTAATTTTGCGTAATATATTTCGTAATTTTATGTTATTTATTGCACAATATTTCACAACTTTTTGTGCAATATTATGCCCAGACCGTAATTATTGCGCAATATTTCAGACCATAATAACTTACGTAAAATTATATTAATATATTTCACTAATGAAGTTAGCAGATAGCATATAAGAACTACTTCTAAATAATAACTGCTAACTTATCACTGCTAGTATATCCTTCATTTTTACTATATGCTATTGTATTTTTACAAAAAATATGCTTAGATTTTTTGGTACAGATGATTATCGGAAAGAGTTATGTATTAATAATTTAAAATATTGGCAAAATTGCCGAATTGACAAAAAAAAACAATAATAATAATATTTCTTTAATTTATTTTAAAATTTGGTATAATCCATATTTAGCTTATATATATAATTTAGTTGGAGAAGTATTAATCAAATTTCCCTTGTTAATGAACTTGTTATATTTATCAAAATACTTTTTATTAATTCAAATGCAAAAAAAAAGAGATAAATTAGTTACTTACTTGAAAATAGCAAAGAAAATCCAACACTTCCTCTTTTACCAATTAAAACTAAATAGAACTCATTTATATTAGCTTGCAAGTTTTTTTGTAAAAGAATTATTTTTATCAGAAAGTAGTGCTTATTCTGGATAGATATTGTTAAGTTTAAGTTAATTAATAATTTAATTAATTAATAATTATTGATATGTATTATTAATATTATTAATTATATTAGAAAGTGTGGTGATATAGTAAAGTAGTAGAGTTGTTATCTTCCAAGCAGCAGGTCTAAAGTTCAAACTCCAAGAATAATGATATTGAAAAATAAACCTGCATTTGATATAATTATTTGCCAATTGGTTGTTTGGTACACTATCTAAAATATAAGCTTTGGTGTATGAAATTCAGGTAATTAGAATGATTAATATTTATTTGGTAGCTCCAAGTAAGAAGGTAGCTGAAACTTTTGACAGTGCTATAAAAAAGACTAAATTTAAAAATTAGGACTAAAACCAATAAACTGAGTAACAAAAGATTCTTAAGTGAAGGATTTACCAACCAAACTGCCAAATTAAAAAGACTAGGAATTAACAAATATATATAATACATACCAACTGGGTCACCAGCTTGGAAAACTATTAGTAGAGGGCTTTACTTTTAGCAGACCTGCGGATTGGAAGATATAGACAAAAGGTACATATTGAAAAAATAAGTTGGTTATATCAAAGGGCTAGAAATTTTGAGTTAGAGAAAAAGAACATATACAGAAGTATATATCAAGACAAAATAAGTCAAAGATATCTAAAGCCAGGTCTAGATTGAACCTTCTGGGTTATTAGTTGAAAGTAAAGGATAAACCAGTTAGAAAATAACAGAAAAAAAAAAGTCTAAATATGGGTATCAGATGAAAAGTGAACCTTATAAGGGTATAGCAGTCACTAAGCTATACTGCAAGTAGAATCTTCAGAGACTGTGAGAACTAGATTGGCCAGAATAGGTATAGAAGGCTCTAGTAGGTTTACCTCAAGAATACTTGTGTGTCAGCTCATTAGAGGAATACAAGCCGGTAATTAGTCAGTACAAACCCATAACAAGATGCAAACATTCTAAGGTGAGGCTCCTAATTCTAGTGCAGCTAGCAGGTGTTAGCGCACAGGTTAACAGGAGTGTGCTATAAAAGGTTATAATCAGAGGGTTTAAATGAGTAGTTTTAATTTGGGCTGCAGATACAGGCATCTAGTGTAGACGGTACCAAAAGTACAGTGACTAGACATCAACTTTTTTGGGCTCAAAATCTTCCCAATTTGGTGATATCTGGACAAGAAGGTAACACAGATCGTGAAATGTATAATATTTTAGGAAATCGTTATCAAAGATGGCAAGTCTTTTTTGAAGAACCGGTAGGATTAGATGACCATGAAAGTATTCCTAATCTTTTAGAATTAGGTTGTCAATATATAGAAGAGCTTGATTGTTCAGATGAGAATCCTATTAACACGTTGGTAGAGTCTTTTGAGCGCAAATATTATATCTGATTTATTTTCATAGTCGTTTAAAATAAATATGTATATTTTTGATATCAGTTTTTAGTAGTTTAGTCAATTTGAGAAATTTATTTCAATAAATTTACATTATCTATAACGTTAGAATTTTATTAGGCTAGAAAGTCACTATTTTTGATTCCGGAACATTTAGAAAATTGTACATGCTACTTCACAAACTTTTTTTTTAAAAAAAATGGTTATGTAGTACTGTCTGTACATAAATGTGTTACATATCTATAAATCACGAAAGAAATAAGAATTGTCGGCGAAGCACAAGGAGGAAATTTCGTTCAAAAAGAGGTTCTGATATCAAATTTTACTAGTGATCGAGATGTTGCTCAGTAATTATTGTGGCTAATTGAAATATCTCGTAAAACACTTTCTAGTCCTGTTTACAGTATTTGTTAAACTCAATTTATTTAAGCAAACATATTACTACAAAAAATTAAGAATAAATAATAATATGCAATAATATAAATGCATCAAATAGGATATTTAAAGCTTAACTAAAAAATTACCATACAAGCTACACAAATTAAATACTATATATAATACATAAAATACATACAAAATCTACATAAATTTATATTATAACAAGGCATATTTTCTATGTTTTAAGGGATCCTTTTGGTGTCATCGGTACAATTTGAAACTCAGCAGTATAACCACCATCCTCTTCCTTAACCGTTATTAGACTTGGATTAATACCTATATATGGGTAGATTCAGGTTAATTTATTATTTTATTTTATGAAAAACATCTAAAGATTAGTCAAACTTACCCAAGCAACAAAAATCGCACAGTCTAATACGCTTATTATTATTGAACCACTTGTTATTATTACCCTGATGCTTTGGAACGTTTGATAATATCGCAGAAACAAATTCGTTCGGAAGCAGTGATAAATCGATTGATTTTTTAGTGAGACAATCTCTACATACTATAAAAGTTTTATAATATACGAGTTTAGACTGATATCTACAATCTATGGAATCTGATAAAATTAACACCTACCAATTTTCTTGCATTTAAGACAAGTGTTCTATATAAAATATGAAAATATAATATAAGCAAATAGAGTATGGCTAATAAATAGACATACTACCCTAAAATCACCCAAGTGCACACACTCCTTAAATGCGTAACATTAATCGCGAGCATGGATTCAAAAAATACGCTCTCTACATACTGCTCGTGTATGAGAGACTTGGTTTGTACATCTCTTCACCTTAAATATACACTTATGCCTGGTTTGCGGAGCGTGCATTTGGAGAAATTAGACTAGACAGTATCTATTTTGAACCTACCCTCCATCTGAACACTGTAAAATCAACTAGACAAAGTTCACATTGTTTCGCTTTAATTGCATCGTGTACAGGCTTCAGCTAAAGGGTGCAAAACGATAATTTTAGAGAAAAGGAATGCGAAGCAATCACAGCAAGAATATTTTGGACCAGAAAGCCACAGTGCTAAGTAAAGAGACCAAATTGGCAAATTTAATCAGAAAATTTTTTTAACTTTAACGGCCATATTCATAAGATTTCACAGTAGATAGATCATTTTTTATTTATAGAATTTATAATATAAAAATTGATTTCCGCGAATTATTTTGTCCCTTTCTTAGCATATGGCCCATTTACAAGAAAACTTACAGATAATAAGACAATGCTTGGTCTTCTTTCATAATCCTTTCCATTAGTCTTGCCGCCGATTATTTCTTGAGAAGATTCTGGAATTGGAGCTAAGCTCACGTTACTATCAGAAGAATTCCAAATATGAATTCCTGGTGCCAAATCTTCGTCACGAATAGCATCGGGAAACATAGTGAAAAAACATGGATCGCATGCACGTGCTACTTTATCTTCACGTTCACTTGAACCAGGTATCACAAAATTCTTGTAAAGAAATGTAACAACAATATAATGAATATAAATATAGCCAAGGCCATATATAAACTTATATTGGTTCTCATAACTCGGCAGAGTAAATTTTGCTAAATTTGGAAAAATTTTTAGACTTATGATCCAGTGGCTTTTTTTTTTAAAACAAACATATTTTGAAGATATGGGGGGTAGTCAATAGAAACCAAGTAAATTTATTAGGTAAATTTGCTTGGTTTCTATTGAACACCCCCCATATGATTAATTCCGGACGCCAGGTCTCTTTTTTTTTTCTTTGAAATTTTATGAGAACCAAAATTATACATTTTATACGGCCTAATGTAAATTAATTTAAAAGAATAACGATACACTACTCTTGTAGAACACGTATGACAAACGACTTTTCCACATGCACGACAATGGTGCTTTCGTAAAAATAAAGTAAATTCTTCAGAACAATTCATGCATCTGTCAGCTTTTGAATCAGGAATCCATACAGGAGCGTGATAGTTATCAACGATGCGATTATTATACGAATCCTTCCTTTCCATAAATGTGGGACTATCTATTATACAAACGTTCATTGGGATATATGTACTTTAGAAGGAAAAAAATATCAATATTTCATGATTGCATACCAATGTTAAGACTTCCTTTCGCACTAAGATATCTATCTTTAGTATTACGAATACTGTTGATCCATGATTCTTTTTCATTTTGATTATCTATTATGTCAAATTTAAAGGCACATATTTGAATTTACGACTAACAAATACCTTTTAATAACGCGTAACACGAACCTGTATAAAGAATAAAGCTTTTTTGGGGGCTAAGTATTTGAAACGCGTTTTTCATAGCTATTTGTAATAAAATTAAATGTTATTAGAATATATAGTGAAAATATACAGGCATATTTAACATTACAATACCAGAACCGCCTTCAACAGCCAGAACTGTTACATCTTCAAGATCAAGTTTGCGATGAAAAATATACATGTTATCCATTAAACTCGGTGGGCTTGTTGAAACAAGATTAATATGTAAATATAATAATACAATAATTAGTGGTAAAACATAGTAAAAAGAATGATTACCTGGCATATATCAAAATATCCGAAAACAAAAAGAATTCGCGAGGTTGATTATTCTTTCTGCAAATCTAATGGGTAAATAAGTTGATCACAAACGTTAATATAAATGTTAATATAAATGTTAATATTAATATATAAAACCCAAGTTAATTATATCATAATTCTTGCAATTAATAATAATTACCTTCATTAATGTACCTCTCTTAACTAATGTTCTTCCAGGAATCAATAAAGTTTCGTCAAATCCAACCAAAGATTTTTGAATCTCTAGCATAGAAATAATCATTTCATGATGACGAATAGTTTCGTTGACAAACGTGGCAACATTTTCAATTATTTGATATGCTTTCTTTAAATTTAGATAATCAGGATGGTTTTCAGTGGTTTTCTTTAAAAGCCCTTCTAGTAATAATTTATATTTAGGAATTCGCTGTACAGGCATGATCAAATAAGCCTGCAAAGTAAGACCTTTGCATTTCCCTGTCTTTATTACATCCTGGAACGGATTCAAATATTAGAAACTCATAAAAAAGCGGAAATCAGAATATATTCGTAATTATTAATCTTTACGTACTCTAAGAAATGCGGAAAAAACCGGATTGTCTTTAAGTTGAATATCGATAACAGAAAGTGCAGAATTGAAATTTTTAACATAAAGAGAGTACATTTTAAGGAATGGTGCCTATTGTAGATAAATTATTACTTGGAGAAAACTATTTAACATATAAAACTAACATAATTAATTACTAAAAAAAATTACCATATTTAAAAATATGTCACCCAGACAATCAGTTTCTGGATTCCAAAATTTAGAGTCACCGTTTTCATCAGCGGGAATATCTGTAGGTCCAGAAAGCCTCTCTTCTAATCTTTTCAGTAACTCTGTATTAACATTCAGCAAATCCAAAATATTTGCAAAAATGTCTTTTATGAGTTTTTTAGTCAGTATCGGACTTGTTGTCGACAATGAATCGAGAAGAGGGTTAAGGAACAACTATATGAGGCATCAATTAGTTCGCGAAGAATTATGGTATGAAATCCTTGATTATTATAAATAGTGTTTGTAGTCGACCTAGATTTATCGACTCGACTAAACTGAAATAAAAAAATCAGCTTAGCCGACTATGCAAAGTCGATTGCTTTTAGTACTGTATATAAAACAATATATTTTTCCGCCAATCCATTATTATAAATAGGGTTCTGCAAATGTTCATGCCAAGTATATTTGGCATCAAGCCAGACACTAGTGCCTTGTGCTGTGCTGTGCCTGTGCTTGTGCCCATGCCCATATGCCTGAGATTTTGTGCAAACCACTAATTATAAAGTTATCTGATTGTCTTTTTTCTTAAAATTTTCGAAATTTTTATATACATAACAAAGAATCGGCCAAGTCATTTTTTTAAAAATCGACAAACTTAGTCGGCTAAGTCGGCTAATGTCAAATCGGCTACAATCACTAAAATTATAAGGATTATTCTCACCCTTTGAACAAGTAGTAAAGAGTCAACATAATGACGTTCTGTTGTTACAATTTCTAAAGCGATCATCAATCGTCTATGCATGAGAGTATTCATGCTCATTTTCATAGATGCACGAGATGCTCTATCGTTAAATTGATTTCTTGTTGTAGGAGGTGATAAAAATGATGATTTGGTTTCTGAAATATTATTAACTTTTTCTGGTAACTTGGTAGGTGGTGCAGGCAAAGAAGTACGTCGTGGTGACACAATGGTTTGTCGAGGACCATTAGATATTGCGCTTGTCGAGTATCGTTGACGCGAAGAGTTACTTGATGGAGGAGATTTGTTTGAAAATTCGCTTTGAACTGATGATACACTAAATACAGAGGCATTATCCGACGTATTGTTTTTATCATAATCGTTTAAAATAGAAGAATTTAACAGCATATGAAAACGCGCATTAGAGTTATTGTTGCTCACTCTTCCATGCGATCCGTCTTTTTGAATCAGAATAGATAATCTCGATTTAGCGGTGGGCATACTCCTTTCTAATATACCAGTAGGTTGGAAATACACGCTTTCTGCCTCCAGAAGTGGTGGTTTATCAAGTACCCATGATTGACGCTTGTTAGATAGCATTGCGAGGCGCGTTGAAGGTGATAAAGAAACACCTTTAAGGCCACACAAAGTTGATCTTTCGTTTTGCATAACCTGGTTTCCAAAATTGGTCGGCGAGTCTGATTTTTTTTTTTTTTCAATCTGCTATAAATTAATAGACTCTTTTTCACATCCAAGGCTATGCAAAGTTAATTTTTCAGTTTGCATAAATGGAATCAGAAAATTGAAAAATTGGGTCATCGATCAGATTATAGCGAGGTTATAATAAGAGCTACGTATCCTATATTTGACTTTGTGCGCAAGGGGCAAACAGATCAAGTGATATAAAAATATTACATAATTACAAAATTAAGCTTGCATTGATATAAGTTATAAGTACGTACTCACGCACGCAGGCACATACAAAAGAATCTATTTTCACCTGAGTTATTTTAAGAATTTAATAGTTTCCCAGTTTTCGGATTTCGTACGTACGTACGTACGAAACGGTTGCAAATCCTGTGTGCCCATGTGAATCCAGTTATTACAAAAACTCAGTTCGACTCTTATCGTTATCTATCTTAAGAATACACATGCAAAAGTTCATAGGAGGACATTCATCTGATTGGCTGATTAAAATCAATTGCTCGGGTAACTAATTTATACAGTTTGAAGTACATACTTTTAAAGAACATAACGTTTCACAACCTTTACAACCTTTCATATTCATGTGTAATTACGTTATATATATCGATATATATATATATATATAGCCGACCCTCCATTAATGCAATTATAGAGGCGTGCATTTGAACTTATGGAGGTAAAATCACGTGAATGTGCATTAATGGAGGGTCGATTAAATTGCGTATAAACAACTATATAAGCACTTTATTTCTTGAACCAACTACAAATATATAAAAATTACTCTCTACATTAGCACATTTTCTATATAAGAACACTCTTTATCAGTCCCGATGGTGTGATTATATGGAGTGTGACTTAATTAAAATCAAGAATTTGCTATCTTGGAGGCTTTGCAGTAGAAAAAGTGGATACTCGGATATATCTTATTTTGAGATAATTCTGTATCCCTTTATTTATATTTACATATTTTTCGATCTATTATTAAATTGTAGGTTTTATAAATTCACAAGGATATGTAAATCCTAACATGTATTGTATTAGTGATGATTTTGAATATAAATAGGTTACATTTGATCCTAACATCACCTGTTTCTAGTCCAAGTCCCGACCAAAATGATTTGTCAAGTGTTACAATTGTTAGAGCTATTATTGGAATATATCTAGGTATTGAGTTTGTAGAAAATTTCTAGAACATAAATGTTCCAAGAGATATGGAGGATATTATTCATAATAGTTTATGGAAATTGAATTATCGAGACAACAAACCGAATTTTGAACGTACTGGAAGTAATTTCACTTTTTTAGATCTGGTGTAACTCACATTTGCGATTAATACATCTCATAATAACAAAGTGAAAGAACTTATATAGCAATATTATAGTTCCATTACTGGAAAACCTTCCGAATGGCTATATCTGCTTAATTAAACACGTATGTAAGAGTTAACTGGTAAAATTTTATTACAAAATCGAAAAGATCATTGAATATTTTTCTTACCTAATTTTAAAATAGAATGTCAAAGCCTTGTGAGCAAGGCTTGAAGAAATATAAGAGTTGAAGGAGAATGTATGGGTAAGAAGCCCAATGTTATGATGCTAATAATGGCTGAAGAAAAGTTTTTTGAGCTTGGTTATGTTGAATTCTCGCGTATCAACTGTAACAAACCTAAAAAAGATGATTATGTGAAAGTTTTATCGATGCAATATATAGACCAAAAGCTAACCAATTTGGTATTGTAGGAATGTATTTGAATATTCTTATTAAGGATACGGGGTATATCACATTATTTCTATTTAGACCATGCAGAACCATTATTGTTATTTCCAAAATTCATTTAGTGCATGCAGAGTCATCGGATTTTAGTAGCATCTAAAATAGTGCTATTATTGATCAAAATAACTAGCGGCATTGTTAGGTGCTAAGATGCAATTTTTGCAATTTTTGCATTAAACACGTGACTATTGCTTTTGTTCTTCGATTGATGAACAATTACGATTTGTAATAATAGCGATAGTAAAGAATAAATTTAAATAAGTCTTCTAGAGTCAAATGAATGTTTTTTAAAAAAAAAAATGCCACAAATTACTTCACTTTTAGATAGATACTCTTTATACAAGGATGATTTTTATGAAAGCAAAGGAAAAATTTATTGTTCCTTCTGTAAATGTCAAGTAGATTACTGAAAAAAACATAATTTAGACTCACATTTAAAAACTAATAAACATGAAAGGCAAAAAAAAATTGCCTAATCAAGTGAAATCAATGAAATTGTATCAACCCGAAATTTAACTAAGCTACAATCTCAAATAACTGATAAGCAAGAAATAAATATCGATATTATTAAAGCTTTTACTAAAGCAGATGCCCCTTTAGAAAAAATCAAAAAACTAAAGCCGTTTTTTCAAAAACATTGTATAAATAGTATACTTACTATTTTTACTTTGAAATTTATAAATATTAAATATACTAATAATTTAGTTTATTAGGTGGTTCAGTCGTAGGTGCTAGTCAACTTCATGAACGATATCTTCCTCTTGTTTATGATATTGAATTAGAAAAATTACATATTTTACTTCAAGACAAAAAAATTTGCATTACAGTAGACAAAACAACAGACGAATGTGAAAGAAGTGTTATTAATATACTTTTTAGTTTTGGAAAATTGACAAAACTCGTAAAAACAGAATTTCTTACCGAAGTTAATTCAACTACTATATCACAATTAGTCATCTCTACAATTTCATATTATTGCTTGTCATTTGATAATATTATATTATATATTAGTGACAATGCAGCTTATATGAAAAAATCGGTTTCAAATATTTTGTCACCATTAATTTCACGAATGCGACATAATACCTGCTTTGCACATATTTATAATTTGGTTGGAAACACTTGGCTTGAATATGAAAATTTTCAAATTATAGATGATATTGTTACTGCCATTAAATCAACTTTTGTTTATTCATCTTCTAGAAAAAGGCGATGGTTAAACCATTTTTCCTTATATGCATCAGATAACGAAAATATTCGATTAACATTACCTTTCTTGGTTCTGATTTATTATTTGGATGAAACCATATCTAAAATATTTTATTACATTTTACCAAAAAGAAAAGGATCTTCCCGACCCTTCAAAAGCTATTATTAAGCTTTCTAACTGGTTTTCTAAACCAGATATCATTATTTCAAGTTGAATTAATTATTATGTTCATTACGTTTAATGGAAAGCAGTACGTATATATAATTATATAATTGACAAATTAAAAATTTATACGTTTATGTATATATTTGATATTGATATATAATTTTTTTTTTTTTTAGATTAGTACATGATTTAGATTTCTTTCAAACTAGAAATATCCCAATTGCACCAAATGTTTACTCACGAATCCAGAATATGCATGAAATGCTTCAAAATTGAATTACTAATCCGCTATTCTCAAGTGAAATGATGATTTATATAGGCCGAAAACAATTGAATATCAATTACTATAAAAGAGTTTTTGGGGAAGCATTTAACTTGGCATATAAAAAATTTGTAAAACATATCCAACAACATAACACACTACCACTTTTTAAAAGTATTCAATGTTTTAATCCCCGATATATTTGTGAAGATGCCTTACGGCATGATTTATCAATTTATACTGATATTTTTGAATTTGAAAATCCATCCAATCAATTAATTGATGAATGGAATATATATTGCAATATGACAGAAAATTTTGAGCTTAATACCGGTTTTGATTTAGAAAAATATTGGAAGGATAAATCATATACTTTACCTATCCTTTCAAAAATTTCTCTTGTTTATATTTGGGTTCCCATTTCAGGAGTAGATGTTGAATGTTCATTTTCGAATTACAAGAATATTTTAGATGATAGACGAAGAGCTCTCACTGAAAAAAATATAGCTAGATTAAACCTTTTGTATTTCAATGAACATGATTTTAATGATGATATGGATGAATAGTCATTAGGATTTATAAGATATAAATTTATAATAAATTTTTTTTTTGCTATTTTGCTAATTTTGCTAATTTTACTAGCGAATTTTGCTAGCTATTTTTGCTTTTAACGGCTGGTGGCCCTGAGTGCATGAGCTCTTTATGCGTTTGTTATTAACTTTAAGGAATATTTTGATTGTAAATAAGAGTCTGCTAATGCGAGCACTAGAATACATTCCTTTACATCTTCCTAGGAATGTTCATTCTAGCTCTGCTGTCCCTTTCCCCCAACATAACAATGTTTAGAGTTTATCCCATATTAATATTCTGTCTAATACTTTATAATAAAGCTGGTACTAGTGGCCAATTTTGCATAATCACGTTTACTTTTGCATGTGTATTTCGTGAATTTATGTTGCATTGTTATCGATTTACTGTAGAACGGTAGAATTCATAAAAGGAAAATGATTTGATTGCTAATTATCGTTATCTTCATTGTTGAAATTTCCTTTTTTGAATTCTACCATCACAGTACGTAGCCAGTGTTGTCAATGGACATGGACATGTCCATGGACATAGACGTCCATGGACATGGACATATAAAAATATGGATGTTCATATCCATGAACATATAGAAATATGTCCATGTCCATGTCCAATAATTTGCTTGGACATATGTCCATGTACAACACTGATCCGGATAGCTACTCTCGTCAAAGCAAGTCAGTGAACACAACTATGTTTTTTTATTTTAATATTTAGAGTTTTAGGTGTGGACGTCAAAAATGCAAAGCATTATCTACAGGTATTAACCAAAAAAATTAAGCCTCTAATTTTAATAACTAGCATTACCGCCCAAAAATTTCAAGGCCAGGTGTAAATGCGAAAAATTAAAAAGCTTTCGCGAATTTTTGTGTTTTTATAATGTAATCTAGCAGTAAAACCTGATAACGTTAGGTTTAATCATGGGTATTATTTATAGTAGGTGTAGTGTTTGTAGTCGACCTAAATTTATCGACTAAACAAAAATTTAAAAATCGCTTAGCTGACTATGCCTTTAGCGTTAGTATATAAAATATTATCTCGAATTTTCGTCGGCCTACTGTTATGAAGTTGTTTGATTGTTTATTTTCTTAAATCTCCTAAAATTTCTTATCTGATATAATTGACTAATGCCAAATCGGCTACAATCATTATTTATTAATAAATTTGAAAATTTTATTTTTTTTTAAAAAAAAACAATGCATTTAAAGTAGGGAAAATTCAATGATTTAATGCAGAAATTGCACGTAAACAGGCGAGATTATTGTGTGTAAATATATTACGAGTTTTGCGTCTCACATGATACAATAAGCATTCAGTGTTCGTGGTTTTATTTATTGAACATATAGAAATTCAATTGAATTTTTAGTTTGAATTAAGAAGCAAAGAGTCTGAACAAATACAGTATTGAGAATTTATAAACAAAATCCTGTAAAGTGACTGTATTGGTATAAAAAACCAAAACTTTTTTGTAAGTACCAAACGTATAACCTCAATAGTCACACCAATTCTTGAACAATTTCATAGTTTAAAAAAATCAAATTGAATATATGAATGGAATAAATCCAGAAGCAATCTTATATAATATGATATTTGGAATAATAAAATTATATCAACCTTCGTTATAACCAAAATATTATTTGTCATTAAAATCATCGACCAACACTGAAACAACATAAATTCAGATTCCCAGTGAGCTTTTTAAAATCCTTACTGATAGTTACGTCAGCTATAGTTGTTATTAATTCTATTATATTATCATGTGGTAATCGCCGAAAAACGTTCAACGATATATGAATGACACCAAGAACATTGGTTTATTATTGATTATTTAAATAATAAATGCGTCACTCATATAATAAAGTTTGATCTACTATCGTTATGATTAAATGTAAAAGTCATAGTCTTATCAAACTTGGAACTATATAGATTGTTAGTTCTTTAAGAAAAATTATTATCGTTATTGCTAACAAAAAAAAAATAGCCATATGCAACAAAAATTAGAAAATAATCGAGCATCTATAATGTAGGATTTGTCCCTTCGTGCTTATTTTATTGTAATCATTTTTAAAAAAATAATTGCTGTATTCTGTATTTAAGGTTATAATATAGTTGACTTAAAGATAATTAGTAATCAGCAACATTATTGTTGCGAAAAAAAATACTACAATGGATAATAATTAGACGTAAAGTATACAGTATAATAAAAATTATTATCGTAATGCTTTCATTTTTTTTTTTTTTTTTTTTTATTTATTTTTATCTTTATGTGACAAGTGACAACCATCAAGGTTGTACTTTTGAAATATATATATACGATGTGTTTGATTAGATGTGCGAAATGAAGAAAAAAAACAAAATGATCAAAAAAAATGATAAATGAATAAAAATATATATTACTAGTCTGCTAATCAAACTGAAAGAGCATTGAACTTCCAACTTTTTATCCCTTCTTACAAATATTATATATACTATATATATACTTTCTCATTACTCTAAAAAAGATTTTAAAATTAACTTGTTTTTTTTTTTTTTTTTTAACAGGAAAATGTTGCCATTAATATCTCAAAATTTAATTCGAAAAACATTGGAAACTCATTCATACTATCCCCACATTTACACTTTTCTAATATATTTAAATAACCTTGCGTACACTTAATTTTTGCAAAGTACTTTACTACAAATGGCATAACGACACGTTTTAATTCTGGCCATTTCCAAACGTGTTTGAATAACATTTCCGCACAAGTTTCTAATCTAATATTACAGAGAATGAGTTTCTTGAGATGGATTTTTAGGTCATGTATTTGGTATTTATCAGCGATACCATATAGGGAATATATTTCATCGGAGATAGAATAGGAGTTGGAAGAAACTTTATCAGTGAAGGGCAGATCGTCGGTATATAAAAATTGAAGCATTTGGAGAACTGAGTTATATGGAAAATCTGAAATTACTAATTCATAATCGAATTCATGTGATTTAAAAGGAGGTTTTGAGGGTGGAGTGAACACAGTTTCAGTAGATGAGGTTGTAGAAGCTATTGAAAGAGTGTCATCAAAAGAAGACCAGCTTTCTTCTTCATCCGGAATGGTGAGTAGTTTCTCATCACTTTCACCAATATCGGATTTTCCTTTTTCACGAATACCGAGTTTTTCATTAATTTCACTTTTTGTATCACGTTTCATTTCATCAAATATCTCTTTAAAACATTTAGATCTTTTCGCAAGGATAGAACTACTTGCGAATAATTCATGATCATCAATCATGAATCTAACATCGGCAGTCGCGGGATTATGTAATTCTTCAGTCCAAATAGTCTTTACTTTTGAAGGTGAAATTTCTTTAGCTATGTTGTTAAATGTGGGCGGAGTGGTTGAAGAGAAGGCGGTAGAAGGGTTTTGACTGAATTCAGGTTTTAGCATCTCAATACCGATTATTATTGGTGAATCTTTCAGACAAGATCTTCTGAATACTTTATAAGTATCTTTTTTAATAAGAAATAATTTGAAATTAGCATATAAATGAAAGAAAGAATGAAAGAATGAATGAAAGAATGAATGAATGAAAGAATGAAAGAAAGGTTATAATGTAAAAACATTAAAAAAATATATATATTATACCTTTTTTATTACTTAAATTATTAATCGGTAAAATTTCAGTGCCATCCGACCTTCTAACATGAATTTTATGATTACACATTGAAAGTCTTGCCATAAATTCATCACACTGTTTTGCATTTAAAGTGGACACTTGTTCCAAGTATATAACACAATAATCTTTCAGCTAAAATTTTTTTTTTTTTTAAAATATTCTTTAATATTTTTAAAATTTTATTTCAAAAATAATTTTAAATTCCGAAAATTCAGAAATTACCGGCTTAATGACCAAATGCCAAAGTTGTTTAGAACGAAATTCGTGAGCGAACGGAGGTCCATATATTGCGTGTATTAGCTGAGAGATATTGGAGATTTCGTATTCAAAATATGATCGATTTGCTTTAATAAAACTTGCCATTTTTTTATTAATTGTTTTGCGTTTTATTTTAAGATAAATTTTTTATTTCGTCAAATTACACGAAATAAAATCGTATGATTATATAATTAAGGGTTTTTAATTAAAAAAAATAGATCTCAAAAAAATATATTATATATATATATATATATATATATAATAATAAAAAATAAAACAAGACAAATCCCCAATATCAAAAATTGAGTGATCCTCCGAATTGCAATTTGATCATTAAATAATTTAAAAAGTTCTTGTAAATCATAAATCATGAAAATCATAAACCAACTCATTAAACAACAAAACAAAAAAATAAAAAAAAAAATCACGAAAGGTCTTGACGTCCAAATAAAAATGATTTTATTTGAAATCATCAGACAATTATTTATAACGCTCCAATCGTTGAATTATCATGTGAATGTAATTGTCCGGATTGCAACAATTAGAATGATTCATCTTCGATAAGAATTTGATTGTGCTGTAAGTAGTTAATGTGACATAAGGTAGATTGAGGTTAAATGTTTGATCAAGAGTGTAATAAAGTGATTATTGTTAAACGTGGGTAATTGATAATAAGAAAACTGCTTTAGTGCGCATATTTTTGATTAGTTAATGATTTTTTTTTTTTTAAAAAAAAAAGTGTTTCGCCATGATTTAATTAGTATCTCTATTTTTGTTAATAACTGTTTTAGAATAACCTATTAATAATAATTAATACCCTGAACTTATCTGTTGTTATACGCTTTCTATATATAACAATCAAGCTATCTGCTTGTTGACTGCATTTGTAAGAGATAACGATAGTGTTCATTTAACCTTTTTAAAGTAAAGTTTTCTTTTAAACTTTCTACGTAGAATCTTGTCTTTTTACTAACTTTTAAGTCTATAAAGTTTACAAGATTAAAAAAAAAGTGTTAGCCTCTGTTTACAGTATAGTAGTATTTGGTTTCGTCGCAAATTTCATATTCATATTGATGTGTATCATTTAATGTGTCATTATTTATAGTTGTTACTAAAATTAATAACGGTCTATCCCTAAAAAAATCAAGTTTATTTCGTGGTAAAAAATTTAAAGTTAATAGTAACTTTCAACTTTCATTAAACGTTTTAACTACAGTTTTGTGTTATTTCATATTTTCAAATAGTTAGATTACTAACTCTAAATAGTTAGAAAAAAAAAAGCAATATTCAAAAATTTTTTAGTGTCAATCAAACGCGTTCCCAGATAATTGCTATCTTGGGTTATAAAAAAAAATTATTCCTAGCTATCTAGCTATTTAGGATTGGTATCGTAGTTTTATCTCCAGGAACTTCTGAAATTCGGAAATTCCATTGTATTAAAAAATTTATAATCTTTATTACTCAAATATACAGTAATCAATTTATTAGAATATTCGTAAAAATACAGTAGTTAGTAGCTATTACCTGTTACTAAAAAAATTTATTATTTATTTATTACGTATAGTTTATTATTATTATTATTATTAATATTATTTTACAAAAGGCTTCAAAAAAAAAGAATTTGGATATTTCGTAAAAAAACATCTTATTTATCTCTTCTTCTTCTTCCAAACGCTTTTCCAATCTCACTAAATACTACCAATATTATGAGACATATTGCTATTTTTGCCCAACCTAACCCTGGAACTGGTTTTAACGAAAACCAATCATTTATTCCTGTTATACAGTATTACGTAAAAAATTATATTATTATTATTATTTTTATTATTACTATAACTATTAAAATTACTAAATATGCGTCTTTTACCTGGAACATATATACCAATAACTAACGCAGCAAATGATCCAAAAACTCCTATAATCATCCACTAATTTTCAAAAATGGGTAAACACGGTCAACAAAAAATCATTAAAAAAAAAAAAAAAAGTTTTTTCTCGGCAAAATTTTTTTTTACCTTATTTCCTAATAAAGGTGTTCTAAAAAAACTTTCATTTAAAGTTCTAGATAAGAACCCTTGGAACAATTGCATAGTGATTAACGTAGTAAATGCCAAAGATTGCGCATCGCTTATATCTAAATTTTCTATAGATAAACCAATTTTGTATACTCCAAATGTCGCCAATGCCATTACTGTTGATTGCATTAATACAATTAATGTCGTATAAACGTTAAGTACTCCCGAATTAGGATTTCTTGGTTTACGCCTCATTATATCTCCTTCTGCTGGTTCTATACCAAGTGACATCGCAGGTGGTACATCAGCTTATTAATTTATAGAATTATTTTAGTTAGTTATTTTAAAATTATCATTATCGTTATTTTATTTTATTTTTTTTTTAGAGAAAAAATTAAATAAAGCATATACCAATTATATTTGCGAATAAAATCATAATAGTTGTAAATGGCAACTCCGTATTAATAATCGCACATAGAAACATTAATATTATTTCTGCTCCATTACAACTTAATAGATAGACAATAAATTTAAGAATATTGTCAAACACTTGTCTGCCTTCTTCTACTGCTATAACAATGGTTGAAAAATCATCATTCGCTAAAACAATATCTGCTGCTTGTTTTGTTATTTCTGTGCCACTTATTCCCATAGCAATTCCTATATCTGAAGCTTTAATTGCTGGTGCATCTAATAATACATTAAATCTTATTTTAAGTTTTGTTTGTTTATAAAAAATCTTTTTTAATATAGTATATATACATATTAATATATATTATTATATTAAAAAATTTACCATTAACTCCGTCACCGGTCATGGCTACTGAATTTCCAAGGTTTTGTAAAGCTTGAACAATTTTAAGTTTGTTATCAGGACTAATAAGCGTATTTATATTAATTAATTTTTTATTAAAAATTTATTATTATTTTTTTTATTAATTAATAAAATATTTACTCACCTAACTCGTGCAAATACACTGGGAAATGGTTTCAAATCTTTTACGGCTTGTTCGGAAAGCAGATCAAACTCTGCTCCAAGAATAGCTAAATTCTATTGAATAAAATTTTTTTTATCAATAAATATTTCATTTGGACTAATCACAATTTTTTTTTTATATGTGATACCTACCGTATTCGGATCTCCTGGATCGATAATACCAATATCTTTGGCTATTGCAGTGGCTGTAGCTATATGATCTCCGGTTATCATTATAACTTGAATTCCGGCCTCTTTACATTTACGAATGGATTCTTTAACTGCTTTTTTAGGTGGATCAATTAATCCAATTAAACCAACAAATGTTAAATCTGTTTCATCGAATAAAGGATTAATGGTTGGAGAATCTGGAGTGTCTAAATTTTTCTCTGAGTCATGAGAAGATATAGATAATGGTGATTTATCATCATCGTAAATTATTTTAAAAGCTAACCCAAGAATTCGTAACCCTTGTGATGCCATCCTTGAGCTTTGTTCTGATACAATGTCAATAAATTTATCAGATAATTCCTTTGGTTGACATTCTTCTTTTTCACCAAAAACTATATCGAATGGTAAAATTGGTTCTGTTGACGCGACTTTTGGTAAATGACGCGTACATTTTCGAAGTAATTCTTCTGGTGCTCCTTTAGCAAGGACTAGTTTTATTGGCTTTGAATGTCCTAATGATGTAGAATCTTTAATCTCATAAACAACACTCATAAGTTTACGTTCACTATCAAATGCCTTTTCATGAATTTTAGTGAATCCACAATCTTTTTCCCAATAATTCTTTGAAAATCCTCCTTTTTGAGCTGCAAGCAATAATCCTACCTATTTTATTTTAGGGTTATTTAATAAATCTTTTCATTTTTTAACATTAAGACATTAAGGTAGTGATTAGAGTATATATAATTTACCTCTGTTGGATCTCCAACCCCTTTCCATTCATTATTTTCTTTAACAACAGATGAATTGTTACATATACAGGAAATCATTAATGCTGTCATCAAATGTGATGGCATATTTTGTGAATCTTTAGGAATTTCTTGAGGTCCCGACTTTCGTAATGAATCTTCATGTGATTCAAAGGTTTTCCGATGATACTTTGAGGAAAGATATAAAATACCACCTTCATTTGGATCCATAGAAGTTGGCTCAGTAAATGTGTATAATGATTCATCTGCTGTCCATAATTCTATTGGTCCCATTTTTCCTTCAGTAAGAGTACCCGTTTTATCCGAACAAATAATTGTAACACTTCCAAGTGTTTCCACTGCTGGTAAAGTTCTTACTATTGCACTACGTTTTGCCATTCGACGTACACCGATAGCCATTGTTACAGTTGTAACAGCTACTAGACCTTCTGGAATAACCGAGACAGCCAAACTAATCACAAATAACAAACAATTGTTTTTTAATATTAAAATAATATTAAAATAATATTAAAATAAAATATTAAATTATTTACATACCTTATACCAATAAAAACCATTGTTATTACATTATGTTTATATGCAATTCCTATTATCACGACAAGAATACACAAGACGAAAGCAAGTAAAACAAGCCATTTCCCCAATTTTGACAATTTACGTTGAATTGGGGTTTTTACTTGTTTAACTGAAGTTATAGCGGCACTAATTTTCCCAATCTATTATAAAAATCACATATGATTAATGTTTTTTACATTTTTAATACTGTAATTTACATTTTTTATAAGTCTTATTTACCTCAGTGTTACTCCCAGTTCTAACTACAACTCCTTTACCACGACCTCTGGCGATTGTGGTTGACATGAATGCATTTCCCTTGCATTCACCTAGTGGAAGGTGCCTTGTCTATGACATTAATAGTAAACACATTAATTACGTTATAAGTGAAACTTATAGAATTTTTAATTTTCATTATAAATGCGTACCCTTGTCCAAATTTTTTTAGTGTCTTTGCTGACCGGAAGACTTTCTCCAGTTAAAATTGACTCAATGACTTCCAAATGTGAACTTTCTACAATACGTACATCAGCAGGAACTGCATCACCTTCTTCAAGAACAACTATATCACCTGGAACAAGTTGTGAAGAATCAATAACCATTTGTTGACCATCACGTACTACTTGAGCCTGATGTTATTAAATTGTAAAAAATTAGGATAAACCCTTCTTAGTTTTACATAACAAACAGAAATATATATATATATTCGTATTATTCGTACTTGTGGGACAGATAGTTTTTGTAAGGCTTCCAAAGCTTTTGTCGCTTTATATTCTTGAGTAAATCCGATTATAGTATTAAGAACGATGACAAATAATAATACACCCATATCCTTAAAGTCAGCTAATGCCGCAGTAACAATTGCTGCGGCTATTAATATTAATACCATAAAATCTTTTAGTTGATTAAATATCATACTAAAGATAGAATTTTTTGGAGGTTTAGGTAGTTGATTTGATCCATAATGATCCAGTAGTAATGGTATTTCAGTTGTAGGTAAACCTTCCGTTAGTGATGTGCGAAACATTTTCAATACTCGAGTCACATCGCGATCAAAATATAAGGCTAAAATAAATAATAAATAAATATATATGATATTTATAAAAAGGTTTATATAAATCAAAGATGAATTATAATATAACTTACATGGAGGTGGTAATGCAACACCTCTAAGTGATGGCATTCTAGGTTTCTTAATTACATTCGTAAATTCTTTGATTAATTTTTCAATATCACCTTGTTCGTCTTCTTTCACTAGTTCATGCCAATCCGAAAACTGTGGAAACCAATTCGTTAGCATATATATTATGGCAACTGCTGATTGTTTGACTGTTGGATCTACATCTTTACGACAACGACGATGAAGTTTAAGAGCGTGATAAAGATCGGAAACATTTTTTTCACGAACAGCCTGACGAAATTCCTCCACTAATAAATGATATTATAGGACTTATCCTAAATAGTAAAATATTAAACATTTGATAATCTGATAGATTAATCATACCTTCTTCCATGAATTCTCCAAAGAGAATGAAAGCTCTATTAGCCTCTCGAGTCATTTTCCTCTTTAGCAATCCACCTTCCATATCGGACATATTTAATAATAACCCTTCACATAAACGTTTCATTAATTCGAAATCCAAGTTGGGAAGTCTACCACCCTTAAGACGATAGTTCATAACATATTGTATTCCAGCCAATACATTTTCAAGAGATAATGATTGTCGACTTTCTTTTATACCAAAAAGATCGTTGACTATAATTGTAAATCATAATTATATAAACCTTTCTAAATAATCATAAAAAACTTTATTATAATCATTATTATAAATAATACTAAGTTTACCATGGATATCTATTTGGTGTTCAATCGAAGCTTTACCATCACGAATAGATTGAATTTCAATAGTCGATGGTCGAGACATTTTTTTTTTTTTTTTTTTGAAAACAGTTATCAGTTAAATTTTTGCCTTTTATATTTTTTTACGCAAAACTATAATCGAAACCCAAATTAGGTTTAAAATAAAAAGCTATCTATTCTTTTATTCTCCAAATATATGGGATGATCTTAGAAAATCCTATGATTTACTTCATTTTTCATAAAAATCATTTTCTATAAAAATTCCCATATAATTATACCCCATTTTCATTGTTCATATGTTCTGTAACTAGTTTATTCTAGTTTGTTTATTAGAATGCCTCGATCCATAATTATGGTTATGGGTAATTAAAATAACAATAACGTTTGAACTTTTTTGTAATACAGCATATGGTTTTTTTTGTAATACAGTATATGTTTTTTATTATCATTTTTTTTGTTTCAACTTTCCAAAAATAAAATTATTGATAACAAACTATAATGTAGATTATTGTAAATTATTTAATTATACCGATAACACATCACATTGTTCACATATAACGTTGAATTTTTAATTCACTAAAAGCATTTAAGTAAACAAACATTATAAGTTCATTGACCCTTAAAAATTTTAGACAAAAAAAAAACAAATATACAGTATAAAAAAAAAAAAAGTGATACAAATTAGCGTTAAGTTAGACATGCATATATGGTAGCTACGTACTGTACGTACGTACGTAATAGGTTTAAGTTATGTCATCATCCTACGATCAGAATTCGGACAATTAGGTGATTTGTATAATGACGAATTATTGCTCTCATGATTTTCGTGGTAAAAATCCTAAAATAGTTGATTTATAAAATATTATAGTTGAAATTCTTTTTAATTTCTTGTGATTTCACGTTATATCTTTGGTCGTACTTATTTTTTTTTGCCAAGCAAAATAATGATACCGTATCGAACGATTTAGGATATATTTCGTCTCAGAAATTTTATGATACCAGACCAAATCAAAATCACAAGATATAATAAATTCTTAAAAATAACTGGTCTTATATTACAAATTAAAATTTCTATGCACACAAAATTGCCTCAATCTTTTGGCAGGTTTTAAAAATTTCTGTTTAAGAAAATAAAATCATGCTACGGTTGTACAAACAAATAAATTTTTTACTCAGTTAGATTGTTTTAAGCGCCTTCAAAAGAACCCTTTCTTAACACGAATTCTAATCTAAATCTAATCTAAATCTAATTTTATTCTAACTTTTAATAGTAAATTATTTTATTAAAAGTATATTTGGCGCTGACACTGCTAGAGCATAGTATGAACCAGGTGGGTGGGCAGGGTCCAGTAAGTGTGAGCCGATGTTACACTAGTTTTCTTCTTTTGTTCAAAGTAACGGTAAACTCCGGCTATTGTCCATTATAGAGCTTTGGGATTCCTTATTCGAATAATACGTATTCGAATAATTTGGATCAGTAAATTTCTATTCGAATATTCGCTGAATGACTAATATTATTTTGAATAAGTACTATTTTATTCAAATAACGTATAAGTTATAGTATATAATTAGATATATAGCTATATAATAATATATAGTTACTACTACTGTATGTGTGAAATAGCCAATGACTAAAGGTTTACATGACGAATAATTTATACTGGTTATTCGAATTATTCGTCAGATAAATAATATTCGAATAACGGATATGAATGCGAAGCTCTAAGTATCTTGTTCCACAAAAGACCCGAATCAGATTCGAATTCGATCCGGTTCTAACCTCTCGGAAATCGAAGCCAACAGCGAGTCACGTGATCGAAGGGACACGAGAATGTACGGTAGCTATCCCACAAAAAATTTTACCCCCCTCGTGATTTTTAACCAATTGGGATGTTAAGGTTAGGGGTTAGGGTTATTTTAGATTAGGTTAAAGTCACGTTAGGGGGTAGATTCATTGATTAATGTTTTTGTGGGAGATCTACAGGCGTCGACACGAGACATTGGAGCTAATTAATCAGGTGTTGTAGTAAAATCCAATTTGTGTAAATTTTGACATTTTTTGCATCAATCGATTGATATAATATAGCAAAAAGAAGTTACAATTTAAGATTTTTAATTAATTAATTAAATACTTTGAAGATTATTAAACTAATCGTTTTGTGTATAAATTGTTGGAGAAAAATAGTTGGTATGCGAGATGAATCAATTTTAGAATACTAGACACCATTCATCGATTTCACCGATCAATGCAAAATCTGCACGCTAGTTTTATTACAATACCTAATATATATAGTTTTGATTAATTAGTATATCAGAAGCCCCAACGAGACATGAACTATTCAGTGATGGATCTATTATAAGTTAGTATAGACAAGCAAAAGTTTAAATACGGTGATTTAGAAATTCAAAAAAGTGTACATTTGAATCTATTTATAGTGTCCTTTATTGATAATAAAAGAATGTTATGGCAAGTGTGCCTTGTTATGAAAAATTTTTTTTCTGTATATATATTTTTTTCTTGTGTTTTATTAGTGATTTCGTTGAAACCACGGACCTTGGTTTGAGATCGCAAATACTGTATTGGTTTGAGACCCAAGATCGTAGTTTCGAGTCACAAAATTAAATATATAAATACAACTAATAAAAAGAATGGAGAATTCGCTTGAGTTATAAATGAAGTAATAAATAATGTATTTAACCTTTCTCTATCAACTAAACCATTCCTTAATGACTCACTATCATTAAATCCGAATCTTTTAATAAACATTCATCCCGCATAACTTATGCTTTGTAACCCCGAGCTAACTTGACCTCACGTTATCCAGATCTCTCTCCTGGTTACAATATCTACAAAGTGGAGTGAATATATAACCAATTACGCTATATACGGCACTGGCTATATTTAACAACAATATTTCTCCGTTATGCTTATACGCAGAGCATTTACTTCACAAACTTTTTAAAAATTTATATATTTATCTAGTTGTAAAGTAAGTAACAAAAATTATATCAGAATTGTCTCTGAAAAAAAATATATCCAATATTATACAATTAAAATAGAAAAGACATAATTTCGACAAAATTGGCCTGAATTATATAGTTAATAATGGTTAACTTTGTCTTCTCAATAAATGGGTTTCAAAAGTTCAATGAAAAAATCAACTTTTTTCTAGTGAATTTAAAATTAAATTAATTCGTTAAATATCTTTTGTTTTATTATTTCTTTTATAATTCGTAACCTAACAACTTCATTACATTCTAAATTATGCGTGCTCATATACATCAGATAAAATTCATGATACATTACACATGATACTCTAAATATGCGGTCTCGTTTTTGACTAAGTAAATGATTTGCGAGTTTTGACACTTGGATAGTCATCAATAAAAGTAGCAGAGTTAGGATATGGCACCCCATATAATAGGTATTAATTACTCCTAAATAAAACATATCCCCACAATTTTCAGTTGAGTAATCTTTCTCTTGACAATAGCATGGCAGGACAGAAATTCGACTTATACATAAATATTACACAAAGATTTGTATATAATTTAAATATATATGAAAAGTATACTAAAAATTTATGTGAATTTCACAATAAGTAGATGGTGAGATAATCTCTGTAATCAAGATGTGAGTTTATTAATGTTGAAATTAGGAAAAAATATATAGTGAAATAAAATTTATGAATTCGACATTAACTTTATTCATGTCTAGCAGAATCTAAAAAATTTAGATATTGTTGTCTTGCCTAATTTAACTAGCTCACAAAATCGTCTATAAATCTGCAGTGTAATTTTTAAAAACTAATTTGAAATCGGTTTTAATCGGTTTAATATATGAAAGATAAAGCTGGTTTTAAACTTTACTTCTAGGACATTGTTTTACTTATCACTTACTCCGTAAGTTGTTCACAAATACCCAATAGCATTTCCAAAAATCATCTAAAGATTGGAATCGACGAGTTTCATATATAAAAAATTTAATGTATATAGCATTAAATTGGTTCTACCACAAAATCCTGAAAACCATTTCCTCGAAAGAATATAAATTGGCCAACATTATAACTAATGCCGGCTAACTTTGTCGGTATTAGGTCCTTTCGGAAATTTTTCTTTTGGGTTTTCACGGTAAAATCCATTAAATTTTTATCTATGATAAATCAAAAAATTTATCAAAAAAAATAGCAAATTTTGACCGATGCTCGATGATGACCGACTTAAAAGCTCAATAAATGAAAGAGTTTTTGATGCTCGAAATTTTTCGAATAATTAATTCTTCATCGATTCCACCCTCAAATCACGTTGCAAGTTATATCGGGCCTTTTCAAATAATAAATAGAATCGAAATTATGCCATTTTTAATATGTATTTATCATATCTAAATATTAGATTTGACAATATAGAAATATTATGATTAAGGCGAAAAAATTTTAAATTTTAAATGGTAAAACTTGTATAAATGAATACTGTTTAAATTTAATATACTGTATAAATGAATGTAAAACTAGACACTAAGTTGGTTACTTACACTCTTTATTGAATAATGCATAAAATTTTACAGAAAATTCGAAAAAATTCGCGATCGGATGATTGTAACCCAATCAATAATCAATAAACTTTCATTAATACAGTACTACTTTACTGAAAAACAATTTGCAATTAATTATAAAGTAATATAAAGTAATATATAGTTACTTGGTAGCAGCAATTTTCTTTATAATAACTATGGGATCTTTGCTAGGAAAATCGCCTTCGGGATTTTCCGATAAGACTAATTCGGAAAAGCTTAAACCAGAATGCCGCATATGTAAATCATCTTTTTAATTCTGGTCAAAGCTTTCCGAATTGGCCCTATCGGAAAATCCCTACTATTAATTTTTTTAGTTTTAAGTTACTATATAATTATTTTATTACTGTAATATATATATATATATTTATATACTATATATTAGCAATGCGCCTACGTACTACTTAATTTTGCAAATTTTTACGTTCAAAAATCACCTGACCACGAATTTTTTCTGCACCACTATAGATACAAGAATTTTACAATTTGATTGATTAATATTTTATATTGGCCTATGTAAAGTTAATTAATTGGTTCTCATAACCCGGCCGGGTCAAATTTTATAAAAAAATTTTTTATATGTTATAATAACTGGGTAGGTTTTTAAAAAAAATTTAAAAAATTTTATAAATTGCTATACTGTATATAAAATTAAAAAAAAAAAAGCCATTTAAAAAGTTTAATATTACGAGAACCAATAAATTAAATTTGCGTGACCTTATATAACTTTTTTGTAAATGAATATCCTGTCTAAACGTATTGGAATAATAATCTTGAAAAAATCAAAATAAGTAAATAATGTGATATAATATCGTTCAATGAATTATATATGAGTTGGAACAATTAAATACGAAAATTTTCCTTTGATTTTATCCAAAGATTTAGAATTGAATGATCCATAAATAATCTCATCAGATTTAACATTAACAGATCCATGATATTGACAATTTTCAGATCCAATTTCGAAACAATAATCAAAAATTTGATTTACAAAGATCAGATTATTAGAAGCTTGCTCTTTGGTGAACAAAGCATTTTTTTGACTATAAGATATTTTATTATGAGTTCTGCTCTTACGCCACGTAACTTCTTTTTGGCCAAAACTACATGCTTCAAGAGGGATTCTTGCGCCAGTTTGACTAGAGTTGTATGTTTCAAGAGAGTCTACAACACTGTTCATTAAATAAATTAGATAATAATGAAAAGTTATGTAAGCAGCTAATATTATTTAATTATTCGAAAAGACAAATATTTATTTTACCAAGCATATAGTGATAATCTTTGTAAGACATTTTTGTCTAACACTTTGTTTCTTTCTTTGGTGTCATAGGCGAATAAGCATGCAGAATGTTTATAAAGTGCTATATGAGTACCAATAATAATGGACGAAATGTCTTTAATAATTTTTGTAGGAGTATAGTTATTAATTGCTGAGTTTGATCCGGACATGGCAGCAGAGTTAACTGAATTTGTTCCTGATATGGTAGCAGAGTTATCGGTTGCTGAGCTTGAGTCATTATTAGTTATTATATCTGGTTCCAATACACAAGTACATAATATACAGGATTCAGAGAATCTTGAAGCCCCAGTATTTTCTATGACGCAACGATTTTTTTCTTCAAATTTAAAATATTTCTTGCTTTTAAATATAATGGGATATTTAATTGAAATTGAATCAAATTTGAATTGCGCAGGTAGACCAACAATAATCCAACAAAGTTTAAGTATTAAATTTCGGTTTTCAGCTTTATTCTGAATTGAGTGAACAACAATTTCAGGCGTCTCTTCGTCTACATAATTCACATGAAAAGAAAATACACTCTTATCTTCTTCACCCATGATCGATGCGTAAATCTGGCATTCTCTTATTTTTATATCTTCTAAATCCCCAATATGTGTGCTCAATGGATAATTATATGGCTTTGAACCATCAAATTTTATCCGTTCAACATGCGCTATTACGTATTATTATTATGATTATGCAAAATATGAATTATTAAAATTTTCAAAAGAATATTACAGCGCTTTTCAAATTACTGTTATCAGCAAATTTCATAATCTAGAAAAAAATTCAAATATATGATTGGTTAAAAAATTAATAAATAATTTTTAGCCAATCATAGATTTACCCTACATGGAATTTGCTGATCACAGTAATTTGAAAAGCACTATCGCTATAATTTGATTAATTTATCACATACCTTTTAAAATTGGGTAGCCTAATACGTCGAAAATTTGTTTTCGCAATTTATCATCCAGTAAATCAAATATCAACCCAATTTCATCATATTCAATTACATCCCAAGTGGCATGATCTTTTAGAGACTTTAGCCAAGGTTTTATAGAATCGTCTTGATTGTCATATTCTTCTGTAATTCCGCCGACAACACGAGTTCTTACAGTTGAATAATAGTTGAATACTTTTGCTTTTTTCTCGGTACTACGAGAAATATTTAAATTTACATCAGCTTTGGCAACGCTCAGTGCAGAAAGACTGATCTTATTTTTTGAATCAATTGTTTTTGTTTTTGAGCTTTCATCTACAATAGCGTAATAAATTAATGTTAATATTTTAAATAAGTCAGTTTATTGATGATAATAATATTTACTTGAATTGCTAGTGTATTTTTTCTCTTTAACTATCGCCCCTCCAAATACGAGACGGCGTGCGTAGAATTGGCCATATTTTTTTGAAATCTCTCGAAGTTTTTCGAGTTTTTTGCTATCAGTGCTCATAATTAATGCATTTTCAACAGCTTTAATAAATTCTTCAGTTGGTGAGATACATGATTCTTGGAGGACAATTACTGCCTTTTCCCACTTTTGATGAGAACATTTAGTATATTTTTCAAGATGGCTAAACATTTGTTTAGATACTTCATGTGATAGTCCAAGAGACGTAGAAAGCCAAAGAGAACTTGCTAAAACGTTTCCACCTAATATGAGATTTCTTTTGCAAAAAGCTTCAAGGTTATGTTCGCATTCTTTTTCATCTTCAGAATGATTATTTAATAAATATTTTCTTTGAATTTTGTTTACACTGATCTTAAATGCAGATTCAGAGGCATCTTTGATGAATATATTATCTTCGTCGAATGTAAATCCATGTTCGCATTTCATAATTAGCTGAGTCCAATCATAATCGGTTGTTTGTCTTATATACAAAATTGTTTCACTATCAGAAGGTTGTAATATCTCATCTAGTTTAGTGTTTGATTCATTGACGGGCAAAATTTGATTATGATTTTTGTCTAAAAAAAAGCACTGGGACCTTCGCCCCTTCTTCTCATGAGGGTATCCCGAATTTTTTCAAGCGTTGCTTCTTTGGGCAATTTATGTACAAAGGATCCATCTTTCAAATTGAAGCCATTTGATGTATTACCAGTGACTGTTTTAATGCTAACACTAATTTCAATACTATCTTGAAGTAAATTGATTGCATTATCCATAGTGAAGAAAGTATGAACGCAAGTACGTATGTACGAAGTTTATTGTTATGGAAATAACGATGTACTAACGTTTAGGTGTAACTGATCATGTTTACTTTTCTGTTCGTGTTACGGTACGAATATCGATATAAATTACATTATTTATAATTCCTTTTCTAATTACAGGATGTCGATGAACACATCGATAAAATGGCTTGAAGAAGCTGTTTCAAAACAATATATAAACTTCATTGAATATTTTGAATTTTATGATTTAAAAGAAATAGAAAGAGGTGGTTTTTCGATTGTGCACGGGTCCGAATGAAAAAAAAACGGGTTAGATGTTGCAATTAAATTTAACAGAAACTCCGATTTCGATATTATTATTAACGAAGTATTTAAAAAAAAAATGTATTGAAATTGAAATTGAATGTTATCCATTATTTTAATAAATTTTTTGTACGCAGATTCAAATATTGCAGAAAGTTTGTTGGCATCCAAACATCATCCAATTTTACGGAATAACCAAAGGTTAGTGAAAATTCTTCAAAATATATGAGTGTTACTAAGCGAAAACCTGTAAGAACTTTTTTCACTGTGATGGACTCAGAAGAATTATGATATACGTTACAGTCAATGTTCTGATCATTTTTCGGAATGCTTACCGTATAAGCAATATCATAATTCTCCAGTGACTAAGTCCAATATATAAATTCAAATTCGTGCTTCAAGTTATCATTTTGCAATCATATTGATTGTATAGGTATCAATATTATTTATTTCAGATCCAGATGGCCAATATGGCATAGTCTTGCAACTTGCTGAAGATGGAGACTTGTGCCAATATTTAAAAGATAATTTTCCAGAGCTAACATGGGCAAATAAGATACACATAGCAAAACAAATAGCTCATGGCCTTGAATTTTTGCATAGAAATGATATAATTTGTCGAGTGCTTGTAAGTTAGTAAAATCTATTGATGACTACGGACTACTTATAGATAATTTATACTAATATTCATTTTTAATAAGTAGCACTCTGGGCATATTTTGTTTCATAAAGGTCAAGTTATGATATCAGACTTCGGCATTTCTTTTAATAAGACATCGGCACCTTTGAGCGATGAATCTTATGGATTACCAGCATACGTTGATCCCCAACTTAACAGCAACATTAATTACAAAGTTAATGAAAAATCTGATATCTATAGCTTAGGAGTTATTCTTTGGGAAATTTCGAGTGGCCGAAAACCATTTGAATATTACCACAATAGCCTTGCAATATCGGTTATGATCTTTAATGGAGAGAGAGAAACGCCTGTGGAAAATACACCATCTAAATATGTTGAACTTTCAAAAATTGCTGGGATCATGATCCCAACAAGAGGCCAGAAGCTAAAGAGGTATTAAAAGTCTTAAAAAATATAGAAGAAAGTCTGGCGATATCTGAATATGTTGAAGATCCCGAGAAGAGGCCAAAAACTAAAATGACAAAAGGGATAGATGAAAGTTTGACAGATAGTTATCTTAAAACAGAATCTGACGAAACAGTTAACTATCAGTATGATAAAGTACATGATACTTACGCGAAATCTCCGGAAGATGATTTCAATAATTATGCCAATTACCTTATGTCAAATAAAGATGTTGAAAAAAAGGATAAACTTAAACATTACAAAGAACCTGTAGAGCCTATGAATTTGACAATAGAAGAAAAATATATAAGTTTAATGGAGTGTCAAAATTTATATCATGGCTTAGTTTTTGACATGCATGGAATAAATCTAGCAAGTCTTTCAGCAAGTAGCTTTAAAAAAAAGCAGCCTAAAGCCAACTTATTAGTATCTGTAAATTTTCAAGCAAAGCTATTGATATCTACAAATAAAGAAACGTCTTTTTTATTAAAAAATCACATTGATCCGTCTACTATTAGTCAAGAAGATCGCATTTGGTTATCTGATATTTACAGAATTTCCGATTCAACAAAGTGATGTTTATCTGGAAATACAATACCCGCAAGCTGAAATAAGTTTTGAAAAAGAACAAATAGAGTCATTTTCGAAATTATACACCATGGCAATAGAATCTCTAAAAAATCATGATCCGCATTACGAATTAATGAAAATATTTGAAGTCTATGGACATTTTTTGCCAAAAAGGATCATTGTTGGGCATAAATTATATAGGATGACACCGTTAATTGCGAAAGATTCACTAGAACTATCCACTCAAGAAATTGACTTCAACGTTAAAGATTTTACAAATTGGACAATATTTTGAATAAATGGGAATGTTATATAACACCACATGATTTTGATGCAACTTATTTAATATCAGTTGATGGAGAAACAATCATGAGAAATGAACTTGATATGTGGATAGCTGGCTGGTTAAAAAATAGTCTTGATTCATTGCAAGTTATAAACTGGAAAGAACTTTATCCATTATATGAAATATTTGATGAATCTCTTCAAAAAAAAATTAAATCTATACTTGGAATTGATGATATAGCGAAAACTTTCGGAGTCAAAGAGAAAGTACTTATCACAGGGGTAATCCCAATAGAAGAATGTGCTTATCAGTATCGCGTAAAATTTCCCGTTAATTTTAAGTCCAATAACTATCAAATTTTTGGAAAACTTGTGAAATCTGATGGTGAGCCAATTTCTGAAGCAGTTATCAAGTTCAAATCTACCAATAAATATGGATTTTCAGCAAATATTGAAAATTTTGAAATAACTGAGTAAGTGATTATTTTAATATATATATATATATTAAGTAGTATTTTTAATAGTTATTTCAATAATTTATTTCAATAATTTTATTTCAAACAAGATTTATGCGCTTGCAAATAAATTGGATATTGATTGGAATACCTGCAGAAGTTGGATACTTCAGTACAAATACACGAGACATTGACATAATCGATTTCGATAGCATTTTGATTACACCAATAACCAACGGCAACAATTGGGTTATAATTTTAAAAACTCCAGAAGATTTATCATCCGATTCAATTCTTTTTACTTCGTTTACATACCCTTTGTCGAATTATGAACCGAATTTCATTGCAACTTTTAAAAGCTATGATGATGAAAAAAAGAGAAATTAGAGTTAATGTATATGATCCTGGATTTACTAATAGAACTAACGAAGAGAATTTTGGCAATGAGAATTTTGGTTCTAAACAGGAATTAATTCAATGGTGTATTCTTATTCCTCCAGAAAATCAAGAGTTCATTAAAGCAGATATTGGCTCCAGCTTCTCAATTAACTTAAGAACAATGGGTCAAAACATCAATAAATCTAAATCTATTATCTATGATTAGAATGTTAAAAGATCCGAACAAACTCAACCATAAACCCAGATAAGCAAAGTTCTTCGGGAGTTTGATTCTTTTTTGATTCTATTGCGCACTAAATATTGACACTTCGTTGAAGCCATAAACGATACTTTGTGGTGATTTTTTATTAATAAAATGGTGTGTTCCCAAAAAGTACTTTAAAGTGTATAAATAAGTTACCCGAGCAATTGATTTATATCAGCCAATCAGACGAAAGTTTTCCTATGATCCTTTACACGAGATGTAAATCACATGCCTATGGTCCAAAAATACTTAATCGTGATTTGCTGTAGGTAACATCCCGATAGTAATTTTGTTCTGCGTGTTATTTAAAATCATTTTGACGTGCTAAAGCATGGACACGTATTTTATTTTTGAAATAATACAAAAAGATTATTTCATTTTTAATAGCAATTTCTTTGAAAAAAAAATTTTTAAGACAACATTAATTATCGATTTTAATTCTGTAATTTGTCATAAATAAAAGGATGTCGCAGATCTATTAAATAAACCTAACTATAACACATCTTACACATATTCTCTTCTTATTATCAATCCTAATTTAAAGTACATGTTTGTGAAATACACTGGTAAAAATTAAAAATTCGACATATCGAAATGGCAACATTTGACTGCCATTCGAATTTTTAACTTTTACTATGGTAGTTTAATAAATGTAATATACCTAAAACAATCATGACCTGTACCAAATTTGAGTTAGTAAAAAGTAATATGTAACATAATTTAAGTGAAGAGACCCAAATAATTAGGCGTCTCAACCCATGCAATTAATTATAGTTTCGATAATATCTCATTAAATAGCTCAATTATCGTATAGCTTGGGTCATTCAAATTGTTTGACATGTCAACAGTAATCGAAAAGAATTTATAGAAAAACCTTTAATTAGTTACTTATATTTCGAGGAAAAATTAAATCAATGCAAATTAATAAGCTATAAAAATTTGCATTATAAAATGAAAAAATACAATAATAAATAAATAAATATATATAAATTTGGGGATCGAGGTAGTAATTTATATGCATCGTGTGATTTTTAATTTACAAATTTGTTAGTAATCAACTTAAAAACCACCCGGCTTTAGACCTCCAAAATTTGTCAACCCAATTTTAGATTTTAGATTTTAACTATGTAATTATATGGGGTCTTTGCCTTGAAAATCACTTTCCGACATTTCCGATCGGACAAAGTGTATTAGTTCATGTTTATATGCAAACCTCTTTTGTCTTTGTGGTTCAATAGTTTATAGAATAAAGTTTCGAATCAATAAAGGCAAAAAGAGATTCAAATATAAAACGTGAACTAATATACGGATTTGTTTTTGTCTGAATTAACCAGATCAGAAATGTTGGAGGGTGATTTTCAAGGCAAAGACCCCATATATGTAATTATATATATATATCATATCCTTAAACTTTGATAAATTTTTAGTGATAAAAAATTTTCTTTTAAAATTTAATAAATAAATTGATCAAACATATCTCTATCAAATTTTAACTTAATAAAATTTAGGTTCAAACCTACACCTATTCATCTGATTTGGTTGCAGTTAATGCTAAAAGTTGGATTACTATTTTAAAATATTAATACCAAATCTAATTCTAAATCCTAATCTAATCCACTACCAATATAAAAAATGATAAATGTACTGGCCTATTTCTATTTGCATTATAATCTAAATATCTACAGTGTAAAGTACAAAATAAAGATGATTTTTTTTTTTTTGATTACATATTAAACAAGTTTAATCTAGTGCTTACCTTCAGGAACCTCAATAGAGTCAAGTGGTTTGCTTATGAAATCTAAAAAATATATTAATGTAATTTTTTTATATTTTAAAGATTAATTCAAGAATTTATTACAAACATAAATATGTTAATATACACTAAACAGTTCTCTGAAAATGCAAATAAATTATTACCTGCATTGATTGGTTTAGGAAGTTTCTGAAATTTCAAATGCTTGCTTGTATAAATATTACGTGTCTGATAATTGAGTCGTATTGAATTAGATCGACAAAGTGGTAAATTTCTTGTTAAATTTTCAATTACTTTAACTTGTTTATATAATTCGGTTTCCTCATTAATTAGATCTTTTAGATATTGTTTTAGTACATCGAACAGTTCTTTAGCAGTTGGCCGTTTTTGAGGTTCAGCATCTAAGCATTTATTCATTAAGTCCAAAAGTAACTGAGGAACTTTACACCTGATTTCAGGTCTACGACCATTACAAATTTGAATTGCCAAATCTTCATTGAATGGGACGTCATGAAACGGTGGATATCCTGTAAAAACTTCTGACATAATTATTCCAAAAGAATAAATATCTGATTGCCGAGTATATTTTTTTTCATGCAACACTTCTGGAGCTATATAAGGGAGTACACCAAAAACTCCTTTAATACTTGAGTCTTGAGATACTGGTTTACATAAACCAAAATCAGTAATGCGGGGATTAAACATATTTATATTAACTATATTCCCTGAATGAAAATCTTGATGCATTAATCCTGCATCATGAATTGTGTAAAGCCCATCAGCTATAAAACATAAGCTAATCACTTTACTCTTCCAATCTAAGTCATAATATTTGCGATCTAGTAATTTTCGAAGACTTCCATGCGTTGCACACTGCATAACAATCATATAATTATCATTATTCGGATCTTCAGCTATTCCATAAACTGAAATTGCTGAGATACCACCATGTTTATGTTGATTTTCAACCTTAAATATTAATTAAGGTAAATAAACTACTATATATTATGTTTAAATAATAAAACTTGTATAATGCTTACCTCTTTCAAAAATTCATTTATTGAATTTGCGGATTTCTGAAGACTTTTTAAACAGACTTCTATTTGTGGTTTTCTCTTCCATTTATTTTTCTCTTTATAAAATCCTATAATATATCCGTCAGTCCATAATGCCTTATAAACGGCACCAAAACCTCCTCTAGAAAGATACTTTATATTTGTAAATTTATTAAAAGGAATCCATTCAATAATTTCCCTAAAACTTTTTGCCCTAAGCTGTATTCGTTGAATAAAGCCATCGATAATAGAACTTCCACTCGTCCAATTGCGAAATTCAGACTTAAATCTTGCATTGTAAAAATATTATATTATAAAAATTCTATCAAGAGACATGATCTTAAAATAACTCAATATAAATACCGTCTTATTGAATTAATAATAATTAATTAATTATCAAGACATCTGTTTTAAAAAAACACACAATATTCTGATACAATATACTTACTTACTAGCATAGTGTATTGTAGTAACGTATGCGAGTTAGTTAATGTTGTTATTTTTTGTGTTGGAATTATCGTGACATCTGTTTAAAAAATTTTTTGCTATAGTATACTTACTCGCTAGTATAGTTTATTGAGTGACATATGAGTTAGTTAATGCTGTGTTATATTTTGAGTTGGAATTATCGTGACTTCTGTTTAAAAAACTATTCTGTTACAGTGCACTTACGAACTAGCATAGTGACGTATGTGAGTTAATTAATGTTGTGTTATTTTTTGTGTTAGCATTATCGTGACTTTTGTTCAAAAAATATATTCTGATACAATATACTTACTCACTAGCATAGTGTGTTGTAATGACGTATGTGAGTTAGTTAATGTTGTGTTATTTTTTGTGTTAGAATATCGTGACATCTTTTTAAAAAATATATTCTGATACAGTATACTTACTCACTAGCATAGTGTATTGTATTTTAGTTAATGTTTTATTATTTATTGTGTTGGAATTATCGAGAATTCTGTTTAAAGAAAATATTCTGACACAGTATACTTACTCACTAGTGTAGTATATTGTAGTGACATATGTGAGTTAGTTAATGTGTTTTTGTGTTGGAATTATCGTAACTTCTGTTTAAAAGAATATATTCTGATACAGTATACTTACAGACTAGTATAGTGTGTTGTAGAGACGTATGTGAGTTAGTTAATGTTGTGTTATTTTTGTGATGAAATTACTGAATTATCGTGAATTCTGCTTGAAAAAAAGAATTCTGATACTGTATACTTACAGACTAGTGTATTATAATGACATATATGAGTTAGTTAATATTTGCTATTTTGTGTTTGAATTATCATAACTTATGTTTAAATAAAAAATATTTTGACACTATATACTTACGAACTAGTATAATGTATTGTAGTGACGTATGTGAGTTAGTTAATGTTGTTATTTTTGTGTTGGAATTATCGTGACTTCTGTTTAAAAACAATTTTTTTGATATGGTATACTTACTCACTAGCATAGTGTATTGTAGTGACGTATATAAGTTATTTTTGTGCTGGAATTATCGTGCTTTTGTTTAAAAAGAATATATTTTGATACAGTATACTTACACACTAGCATAGTATATTGCAGCGACGTATGTGAGTTAGTTAATGTTGTTATTTTTTGTGTTGGAATTATTTGACTTCTGTTTTAAAAAAAAATACTTATACAGTATACTTACGAACTAGTATTGTAGTGACGTATGTGAATTAGTTAATGCAGTGTTATTTTTGACGCTGGAATTATCGTAAATTCTGGTTTAAAAAAAATTCTGATATAGTATACTTACAAACTAGCATAGTGTGTATGTGAGTTAGTGATATTGTGTTATTTTTGAGTTGGAATTATCATGACTTATGTTTAAAAAAATTTTGATACAGTAACTTACAGGCTATCATAGCGACGTATGTGAGATAGTTAATGTTATGTTATTTTTATCGTGGCTTCTGTTAAAAAAAATATTTCAATGCAGTATACTTACAAACTAGTGTAGCATAGTGATTGCAGTGACGTATGGGTTAATTAATGTTTGTTATTTTTTGTGTTGGAATTATTGTGACTACTTACAAACTAGTGTAGCATAATGTTAGTTATGTCGTGTTATTTATGTGTTGGAATTATCTTGACCTTTAAAAAATCTTTTTATAAAAAATATTCTTATACAGTATACTTACTTACTAGCAGCGACGTATGTTAGTTAAATGTGTTATTTATGTTGGAATTATCGTGACTTCTTTTAAAAAAATATGATACAGTATACTTACTTACTAGCATAGCGTATTGTAATATGAGTTAGTTAACGTTGTGTTATTTTTTGTGTTGGAATTATCGTGACTTCTGTTTAAAAATAAATATATGTATATTCTGATACAGTATACTTACTAACTATCATAGTGTATTGTAGTGACGTATGTAATTTAGTTTATGTTGTGTTTTTTGAGTTGGAATTATCGTGACTTCGTTTAAAATACATTATACTTACAGACTTGCATAATGTGTTGTAGTGATGTACGTGAATTAGTTAATGTTATGTTATTTTTTTGTGTTGGGATTATCGTGGCTTCTGTTTAAAAAAAAAAAAAAATTCTGATATAGTATACTTACTTACTAGCATAGCGTATTGTAGTGACGTATGAGAGTTAGTAATGTTGTGTTATTTATTGTGTTGGCATTATCGTGACTTCTGTTAATATATATATATTCTGATACAGTATACTTACTTACTAGCATAGCGTATTGTAGTGACGCATGTGTTAGCTAATGTTGTGTGTTGAAAATTATCATGACTTTTGTTTAAAAAATAATAATCTGATACAGCATACTTACTAACTATATTATAGTGACGTATGTGAGTTAGCTAATGTGTTTGTTTTTGTGAATTATCGTGACTTCTGTTTAAAAAAAAAAAAATTGTTATAATATACTTACAGACTAGCATATGTGTTGTAGTAACATATGTGAGTTAGTAATGTTGTGTTATTTTTTGTGTTGGAATTATCGTAAATTTTGTTTAAAAAATATATATTCTGATACAGTATACTTACTTACTATAATAGTGATTGTAATGAGTTAGTTAATTGTTATTTATTGTGTTAGATTATCGTGACTTCTGTTTAAAAAAATTCTGATAAGTATACTTACTTACTAACATAGCGTGTTGTATTGACGTATGAGTTAGTTAATGTTATGTTATTTTTTGTGTAAGATTATCTGACTCTGTTTATAAAAATAAATTCTGCCTCAGTATACTTACTTACTAACATAATGCATTATAGTGACGTACGAGAGTTAGTTAATGTTGTGTTATTTTTTGTGTTACAATTATCGAAATCTCTGTTTAAAAAATATATATTCTGATATAGTATACTTACTCACTAGCATAGTGTATTGTAGTGACGTATGTGAGTTAGCCAATGTGTTATTTTTTGTGTTGAAATTATCGTAGCTTATGTTTAAAAATAAAATATATACTTACAAGCTAGTATAGCATAACGTATTGAGTTAGTTAATGTTGTGTTATTTTGTGTTGGAATTATCGTAACTTCTGCTTACAATATATGAGCTGCTGTCAATAAAAATCAAGCAAAAGTTTTTTAAAAAATTAATGCCATAACTCTCACCGCTTATATCTCTATGAATCTTGATTATTTAATAGTCAAAAAGAAGTTTAAAATCTATTCTTTCCTTTGACTGTTAAATCATTAAGATAATTTCAAAATTCACCGAGATATGAGCTATGAAAAGTTATAGTATTAATTTTTTTTAAAAATGTTGATTTCTATTGAAGGCAATCATTTACATATGAGTGCCGTCAAAGGAAAACCTGTCATCGGACTTTCAATTATATTTTGTGTACAGTTAGTCGTCTATGGAAAATCAGACGGCTAACTGTACACAAAATATAATTGAAAGTCCGATGTCAAGTTTTCCTTTGACGTCACTCATATATATTCTGACTTTAAATACTCACATACTGGTTAAATTATAACATTTATTTAGTAAGCATGAATTTTAAAACTAATTCACAATACGATTTTAAGTGTATATATACTTGCATTCCTTTAATTAATTCATGGGTCTCAATTACCCATGCATCATTTAGTTTAATTTCTAGTAATTTCTCAAAGTCTGCAAGAGATTCTTTATATTTTTTTATCATGTAATAAATCTCCCCTCGATATCTTAATGATATTGTATTATCTGGTTCAATTTCCAGTGATTTATTTAAATCTACAAGTGCCTCTTTATATTCTCCCATAATAAAATATATTTTTCCGCGATAGTTCAATTCAAATACACTATTTGGTCGGTTTTCCAATGATTTTGTTAGTTCATTAACTAAAACCGATAGCGTTATTTCATATCTGCCTATAATGGGATAAACCTTTTCTTGATATTTTAGTGAAAGTGCATTATTTGGTTTATCAATATTATCAACATCGCCAATATCTTCATTTGTCATTGCTATTTATATAATATAAGTGCCTGTAAGTTTACACACATTCAACCATATAGATCTAGACCTTATAATGTTAAATAAATTTACCAGAATATTTGAACTTTCTATGACCAAAATTTACTTCTACAGACCCATATGGAGATCTTAGCCCAATGCAAGGATATAGCACTTCATTCAAATCATCAGGTAAAAAACACGCAATTCCTTAAATGTGATACAGTATAAATTATTATATTCCTATATAGCTGCTTCAAAATTATTAAAATTCACTTTCAAAAAGATATAATTACCCAAGTTTACTCCATTTTTAGTGTAAAATACTATTTTATTTCGGAAATTTAAATAGCATCCAATGATATCATCAGTAGTATATGTCGGCCCATAGGACTCCCCGTTTCCAGAACTAAAAGAATATCCATCATCACCATGATAACTCCATGAATTATTTTCCTGTCCTAGGGATATTGTGACATATATGTTAAGCCCATAATGATTAATGAAAAATAAAATAAAATTTTTGTGTTTACCGGGCATGAGAATGATATTTAAATCATCGGATTTTGTACTTGAACCAACTGTTTCTATACTTTGCTTTGTGCAAAATCCGACTCCAATTATTCTTTTAAAAATAGAATCAAGATTATAAGCAAATTATAAAAGAAAAAATTCTATTTACAAATTTAACTGATTATTGATATTACCCATTTTCTCCTTTATCTATTACTTTAACTTCAAAGTAGAACAATCCGCACTCTGGAGGAATTGGATTATTTGCTCGAATTACAGTTGCAACTTTGTAGTCATCAGGCCCTTTTATTTTTTAATTTTTTTTAAAAAAAGTAAATCAGTCGCACCTCTAAGAACACACTCTAAGTGCAAGTATTACAGTATATAAATGTACGATACAGCTTGGTCCAACTTATAAGAGCCCTATATACAGTCAGACCTCCCTAAATACAACACCTCCAAATGCATGTCATCACTTAGGCCCAATGAATATAGTGTTTATATATTTTTACCTTACTAAACGCAATACCTCTCTAAGTGCATGTTTGACTAAAATTTTTACATATGGTCCCGTCGCAATGCATTTAGAGAGGTCTGACTGTATTTTACTCCCTACAATGCAAACGCCCTCTAAGTGCAAAATTTTAGTTTTTTTCACTATGATCCCGACGGGATACACTTAGGGAGGTGTGACTGTAACCAAAAATTTTTATATCAGGTTAATGATAAATAATTAATCATTCACCTATATATTTCACACTAAGTCTATCCGCATTTATGCTCACAAATGGTGACTCATCTTCAAAATTAAGGGCGGTCGGCAAGAGAATATTACTGTGTGAAGCTGATTCTTCCATTTGATTGAAGATTGGAATCATTGTTCGTATTGCATTAACGTTAAGTTTAAAAACCACAATCGCCCCTTATAAGGCAACTACTGTACTATTTCATGTAATACGTACTGTAATAACCAACTGCTATTTGGGGATGTGTAGGCCAGTATAAAATAGCAATATATATATTGTCACATGAATGACGGTTGATTGACGTAATATAACGGATAATCGAAAATCTAGTAATTGTGACGAATTAAAATGAAATCGGATTAAAAATGAAATATTTACAATGTAAAAAAAATGGACAAGCCACTGAAAAATAAAATTTATGAGGTGCATTTTTAAGGGTTAAGGGTTAGGGGGAGCATAGCGGAAGTTTGGTTTGATTGGCTAAAATTAGACTAAATATGATTGGCGACGATCTTTTTTTTTATACAATCAATTGTAATTTTTAAAGTACTTTTATAAGTAAAAATCGTCATTTTTAACCTGGGATACAAAAGTTTCAAGATCTACAGTGCGGGACAGCAAGAGACATCCAATGTCTATTAATGAAACTTTAAAGTGGTATAACTTTTTTAAAACAAGCT